GGAAGATTTGCATTTAAAAAAAAATTCACCTGACACCATTTTCTGATTACAGGCAAGATTACTTGGACAGGCAGGACCAAGGTGACAGTGAACAAAGTCCTAGGATCTTAAGGGACACAATTGCATCAGTCCTGATTGGCCTGTAAGATTTTTTTTTTCTTTAAAGTATGCCAATTGTTACTCTTGTTTTTAAGGGATTGCTAGGGAGCCGTGGTGTAAAAGAGGACGCAGCAAAGCTTGCAACAGCCTCTATGCACAGGTATGGTTAGTTGGGATGGCAAGAGGCTTTACATGGACTACTTCAAAGCAATCTTATATGAAGATAAAAGGTGTTAAACTAATTTCATCTCTGCTGCTGCAAGATCACTGCTGCTGTAGCCTCCACCGCCCATCAGGAGTGCTGTTCTCACTAGACACTGCATCCCACTTGGCAACCAATCGAAAGGAGATTGCATTGCAGTAGGCATGTGATGGGTGCATGTCTGTACTCAGCTGTTGATAAATCAAAATTAGCATAGAACGTCCTAGGGCACTGTAGGGGGCAAACTGAGCATGGTCTACAGGCATGAGATGGTACCTGCTGTCAAAGCCTACAGATAGTTTGTATATCACTCGGCTGTAGAGCCTCAAATCATCTCTGAATTGGTGCTGACACTGTCCTTCCTTCTGGAGGGCGGCTACTTTTGTTCCCCATGGTCCCTGTGTGTGTTGTAAAGTAGTCACCACTCCAAGCTCACTCCTGTGATGTACTATAATCTCATGTTTAGTTTACTAACTTGCATTGAGATTCCATACCAGGTGTGAGCTTGGAGCGGTGGCTACTTTACAACACACACAGGGACCATGGAGAACAAAGGAAGGACAGTGTCAGCAGCAATTCAGAGATGATGGGAGGATCTACAGCCGAGTGATACACATAAAAGATACATTTTTGATAATAGTGAGGGAACTCGAATGCATTTGTATGATTTAGCTCCTGAGTTTAGCGTCACTTTCAGCTGGCTATACACTGTTAGATTTTAGTTCCATAAAGAACCATCAGAAAGGTTGCAGTTATTTTTCGGCTGAGAATATACAGACCGGCTCCTTTGACAGAAGTCAGCTGAAAAATTGACCGTTGTGGTGCCTTAGGGCCCAGACAATGCTCGAATTTCGGATGAGTTGGAAGGACGCAGCTGAATATTCAAGCAGCGTATGGTCAGCCATACACGTATTCCCCTGCACACCCCAAGGGTGGCTGAGGCTTTGGTTTCGCATTCTTGGGGTACAGATACACGTTAGTGTATACATGTAGTGTTGTAACACAATTATTATTATTTTTTGTCCCCAGGAGTAATCCAGACTGGAGGGCAGGCCAGTCTTAGCAGCCATAGGCCTACACTAGTAACCACTAGCCTATTCTTTTTTTTTGCCAAGAAGAGGATGCTGTAAATAAAAGCGCTGAAAAAGAAAATAAATCGCCCATCAACATGGCAAACACAATTCAAGCTTTTCCAGTGTCCGAAATTGTGAACATGATGTCAACAAAAGCTCCTCTTCACTTGTTTTGTTGAAAGTGTAAATGATTTGTTTTGTTAAATAAAAAGAAAATGTTTTATGTAGCAGTCTGTGTTTGGCCTCCATGGGGGTTGATGGATGTAGCTCCGTTTAGGTAGCAAAGATCTGGCTATACAAATTCTCCACTGTTGATACACTGATGCTAGACAGGGCTCACCCCCCTTAGATAAAATGCCACTCGGTCTGGGCTTAGGCTTCTACAACATTATGACAAGATTCACATATATGTTATTTTTCCTTCTTGAGCTTGAAAAAGAGGTATCACTCCTCGAAACGCGTTGCTCACTGCCTTTCCCCCCCGCCACTACCCTCTTCCTATCACAGACCCGACTGATAGCTGACAACTCTCAGCCCACGGCACCCGTACACTACCCCAGCCTGCGCCGACAGTGACCGAGCAGCACGAGCCGCAGCCGCGGTCACAGCAGCTCTGCCTGCTTTTGACACCGCTGATTCTTTCCCACACCACTCAGCCCCTGGACTCACACAGCGGGCCACGGACTGAGTCCCCATTCCTGTGGTCGCTCCTTTCCCCCCCCTTTTCTTCCTCGCCCACAGCCTCCCCTCCCCGTGTGGATGCACATCCCCTGGCTCACCAGTTCCAGGTAGATACCACGGATGACCCGATCCTTTGCACCCGCCGTCCATCCTCTGGTCCCGTGAAACGAAATGTAAGTGCTTATTCTTTTTCCTCAGCTATCCTCCGGTTTTTCGCCCAGTGCACCCATTGTTACACTATTCCCCTGTCATTTTCCCTGGGTCTCCCGACCCGGTCAGATAGCCCACCTAGTGTTGCGCCCTTTTGGATTTTTTTGTTTCAAGTTTGCAGATACACAGGCACTCCTCCTGGGTTTTAGGGCTGCACACGATCTAGGGTCATACACTGTTCACCCCCTTATTATCAGTACAAGAGCGCTGTTTGTACGTTTTGTGTTTTTTTTAATATATGTTATTTTTGTAAATTACAATTCATTCACAAGATGTATTGCACCAGGTTTCCGTTCTGTCTGAAGTTAAACGCTTCTGTATTCAACCCAATAACTGCTTTAAAAAGAAGCAGTTCCTGTCATAAAACTTATTTGTTTTGGTTTTGGATGGAAGAATCTTTGTAAAGCTATTTTGCCATAAAAGCTTCATGTTGCAATTCAGAATTTGTTTTTGTACACTGAGCAGCACAAGTGCAACTCAGTGGTCAAACCTGGCCTGCCGAGATAGACCAACTCCAGTGGTTGGATGTCGTCATCAGGGCCCGGCCAATAAAGGGGGCAAAGGATCGAAACCCAGAAGATGACCCGTAGGCAGATGGAAGCACCGGTGGGGGGGGATGACAGTTTGGCAGGTAAGTCTGCCATATTGTGCTGTCATGCTGTGCATTCCAGAACATTATGGGTAAAAGCTCCACCCCCACCCCCTCCTTTTTTAAACACTTTAATCTTTGCATTAGAGAATACCAAATAGGTTAATTGTGGAAGTCTTGCTGTTTTGCATGTCTTATTCTTGTTAGAAATGATAGGTAGCATGTTATTTTTTTTTCTTTCTTTAAAGAACTGTGTGAATTGCAGTGAAATGGCGACTTGGAGGCATTTCGTACACAGTTGGTGTATGGAACACCCGCAGAAATGTCACTTCCTGTGTCATTGGCTCACAGATTTTTCCCAAAGATGCCAGTAAAATTTCAGGTGTCCCTTGCAATAGAAAATAGGTTTTTTTTGTCCTTATCTTTTCTTAGAGTCCATGAAGGGACACAGCTCTGAAGAATTCTGGAGCCAGCAGCATAAACCGTGCATCTTTGAATTCTTCAGAGCTGTGTCCATCAATGGACGATAGAGACATGTCAGTTTTGGTGAGCTACTCCGAGAGTTCATTGCTAAAGGGATGCCGACACTGCAACTTTCCTGCTTGGATCACTGGAAGTCCACCAGGTTGTTATAAATGAACCAGACCCTCCCATTCAGGAAAGGGCATGGTAAAACAAACATATTTTTCTTCAGAAGAGAGAAAGGCCGAAATCTGCAACAATGTTTGCTAAAATGTTTGCTGTGTACATTGATCAGCCAGAGAGGACGTTTTTTTTTTTTTTTCCCCTTAACAAAAAGTGGAGTTACACTTTAACTGCAAAGAACAGTAATCAAGATGGCACAGAGGCTCCCTATGGTATAAAAGTAATCAAGTAGCACGTACCAACGATGAATTATCTATGAGTGTTCAGTGCTGCAACCCGATGTCATTATTTACTTACACCAACTACCAACTACTAGTCTAGCTTACATCATAAGGAGCCAATAATTCCATCTGTTAGAGATTGAACGCTACTCTTAGTAACTAATGGTGGAAATTGTAGTAGCATACTCCAAGGAAGGAGATTTGGCTCTAGAGCTTAGGTATAAAACAGGTCCAATTCAAAAGGGACATGTCGGGACAGAGATACGAAAGCTGCCATTGATGTCACCATGAGCATTGTGCACACCGGGTGTCCTGACACTTCACTGCTTACAGGCTCCTTCCCAGGTCAGTGACTCTCAAAAAAATATATGGTGGCTCTAATGTATGCAGCTTCAAAAACAGCTCAGCTCCCTTATAGCTATTCTGACAAGTTCCCTTTACATTGAAATAAACCTGCCTATCAACATTTAAATCCTTGGTTCTCAACTGGTGGGTCACGTCCCCGTGTTTAGTGGGTCACCGCATGCCTTCCACTTTTCTAGGTGAGAGGCTCCTCTGCCTTCCCCTAGTGCAGCACTGTCAGTTCTCATGCCAAGCAGCCATTCAAAATATGCTGCCCAGCATCCGTGTCTGCTTTAGGTAGGGTGGGCTGGGGCTATGGCCGTGAGGGAACTCCATCCATACGTGCATAGCTTACAGCTCCCTCACGTGTCCTGTAGAGGTGCCTGGACCGGAGTGATGTCACATTCTGGCTCCCGGCACCTCTACAGGGTGCACAAGGGAGCTGTACAAGCAATGCACATATGGATGGAACTCCGTCACAGCACAGCAGCCCACACTGGACCCCAGGCTGAGATCTACTCCAGTTCTCGTAAGGTAGGGAGGCTGGGTGGAACTTTGGAAAAAAATGTGAGTGTGTAAGATTGTGTCTGTGCATGTATGTCAGTGTTTTTGAGGGCCTGTTCACACTAGTACACTGTGTTAAACTGTACCACGCAATCGCACCTACCGTCCATTCTGGTGTGGGAGGTGTGTTGCGTTGCCATTCATTTCCCCAAACGCACCTTCCACCTACAGTTCGTATGCCTGCACCGGAACACACGGTACCCTAATGCCGTGTGTTCCATTGCAGAGCGACTTGGGTCGCGACTTAATGGCCTAGGACAAATATGGGTCCTGAGGTTACACGGGTTGAGAACCAGATTTAAAGTGTCAGATGTAGTAGTGAGAATAAAATGAATCACACAGCACTCAAATCCCTCTCACCTTCCAATTTATTTTCTGGAGAGGAACATATTAAAGTCCCAATTCCTCTCCTCCCCATTTCATTTCCCGTGCCCTGAACAAAAAAAAAAAAGTCAGTCCCCAACTACCCAATGTCAATGATCTGTCAACGTGTGAAGCTGCTCAGGTGACCGACTCAAGC